TAGGCCCCTTTTGAAACCATTTATAATAGTTCATTGTTCTGCCCTCTGTGTTTGTACAGTAGTTTCTCCACATGCCTATCATCTTACTAAACACAATTCTCCTGCACTTACTATTCACTTTTGTTGCCCTTATTTCGAAGCTATGATTTGAACAGGATGGCAACTGCTCATAGAGCAGCCGGCTCACAGCGTCAGTTCAATATATTCTGGGACATTGGGGCCACATTAATTTTTTGGTGATGACTGTCCCATGTGCAAATTAGCATTCCTAGCACTATAATCTGTCTTGTGTGAATGTTCGTTTCTCGTGAGTATAGTTATGCTCATACACTCTCCTCTGTTTAAAATGACAATGCCTAACTTTATTGTAATTGGACTTTATTTTGTTTCTGTTTGTAAAATGGCATATTTCCACAGAAAATTAATTGAAATAAATCATTTATGCTTATTTATATTAAAATGTATTAATTGGTGTCTGTATTTTCCATTATATTATCTGATATAGGTCTACAAATAAGCAAGAGTTCCAATTAAAAGCATACTACCATTTACCTGATTTACCCCTGTTTTAAATATATTTAAAATTGTATGGAATAATTGTCCAGATTTAAAATATAGAGCAAGTAAAATTTATTCTGGAGATTGATTTTGTTACTGTGAAAAAATAACAATGGCAAATCATTCATGGGATGCAAATAGTAATTCCCAAGATGTTATAATATCATATTTTCTAGTGTAAGGTAGGACTGAACAGTTTTGAAAATAAGTTATTTCTCTTTACCAGTTGATAAACACGAGAAAACAAGAGCAAACCCCTAACCTTTACATACAACATCTAATCAGACAAATAAAATGAAAACAGTTGAAATGTGAAGAGATATCTATTATGTTTCTGATAAAAATCACTATCTACTTGTGCTGGAACAATGCTACAAGCAGTGGTCTGTGTTTACATAGGTATTGCTTACATTGGCAACATGCTGATATTGTTACTATAGAAACAAAACCAATTCATTCCAGCTTACATATGGAAGCAGGAGGTAAGAGGGTGATACTTGCCAACTCACACTGAGGAAAGGAAAAAAGGTCCAAGGATAAGATTCAGTAGCTTATCTCTCTCATGACAACCGTGTACTTGTATATTTATAAGAACCACTGGTTACGTTTTGCTGATTTATACTGGTCACGTAGATTTTCATCACTTAGCTCAACAGCAAGGTAAAATCATTTATTGTGTAAAGAGCAATCAACCACTCTAATAAAATGCCATTCATTATTTTGCTCAGATATTGCATGCTTACTGGTGTCTTTCTTCCACTGACCATTTGCCTATGATAAAATAGTATAACAAGTGTAAAACCATCTTATTATTCTGACAACCCTTTTATTAAGCAATTTTAAGGATAGATATTTTCTCCATTTCGACAGGCTGTAATTCAAAACTGGGAGAAAAATAATAGCCAATTCCTGTTATCTGAACCCTGCTAATAACTAAAGTTGAAGCTGAGAACTCAAGATATTCATTGCCACCTGTTGCTTATTGAATACATGTCAAGAGTGTCATAAAATAATATGTTTCACTATGACTGATTTTTTTTAAAGATAGAAAACCTTCTTGTGTTTCACAGTAATATGTTTACTTTTTTCTTAACTTTAACGTTGAGGATGTGTTAAGATCTAGGCTGCTGGTATTGTTTACAATATGAGAGCAGGCATTATATATTTAAAGAATTCTAATGTTTCAACAATCATGGTTTATTTAAGTGTTGACAAATTTATTCAAATGCATTTGTATTTTATTTTACAATATTTGTGTTTTGTAAATATTCTGCCCATAAGAGGAAGAGAGCAATTTTAACAAATGTATGGAGAGAAGTTCTACCTGGGTCTAGATTTATTCTATTTATGTAGCATTTCAGAGTGTCCAGACTTTGGCAAATTATTAAATATACCCTTAATTTTGAAGCCTTTTTCTATAGGTTCTTTTAAGAACGTAAAAAAAACTTCAAAGCTAAGATTGAATTCAACAATTGACCAAATTTTTGACACAGAAATGTTACATAAAAAACAAATCTAGAACCTAGATGGAATTTCTCCCCAGCAATGTCTTGGAACAAAGGCAACTTCTAGCTATATCTACAAAGCCTTGTGAAGTTACATACTTCTTCAAGGTCTTAAATGATGTATGATCCCCACAGGTTAAAATATCACTCCAAATCATTGAGAATGTGCATGGGTAAACTATTAGTTTGAGAACACAGGTCAGCATATTTCAGAAGATTCTTGCATCACAGTGAACGTATTTTAATCTTATTACATTTTTGATGAGTGGTGGTCTCAATTATTATGATATTAATCATTTAGAATTGAGCTAAAATGATGGGTACAATATAGCAATATTCCCATTCATTGTTCATTAATAATCTTTGCATTTGAAATAACCTCTTATCATTTTGAAAAGTCTTAAAGCACTTCACTGAATTGTACATAGCAATGTCCCATAAATAGCTGCAAACAACCAATTTTTTATTTGAGGATTGGTGTGCCAAGACACCAGGGAAACCCTTCTCATTTCAAATTGTGCCAAGGAATCTTTAACATCCACCTGAACAATGCAGCTTTCCCCCAGCACTGCACTGGAGTGTCAGCCTACACTGTGAGCTTAAAGCGATAATGTGGGGTTTGAACCAACAACCTTCAGACTCATAGGTGTGATTGTTACCGACACGCTGACACCAAACTCATTGACTTGCACAAATACTGTGAAAGAACAGTGGAATTTTCTTTTTGAATAAAGTCTTTGGAAAGTTCATAACCTTTTTACTGAACAAAAGAACTTTGTGTTACATGTCCGTTTTGAACTGTAGTGGATATGGCGAAGTACTCGTTTTTGTAATTGAATTAAGGACCAATCTTGTTACTTAATTTCATATGTTGAATGTTAAGCTTACTTTCGCTGCAAGTAAGTCTGAATTGCCTTTTCTTTGAGCATCAGCAAGCCCTTTGGTATTTAGAACTCCTCCGACACTCCACCTTTTCATGTTGGTTAAATCTGTTTATAGAATACCCCCAGCTAAGTGTCTAGGGTGTAATTTGCAAAATCAACATACACTTTAATTAACATTTGGCAGCTTTCCTAGAACTCCATTGTGTACACAGTACCACACCTTTATGTCATAACCCCTTCTGTTAAATTATTCCAATAATTTTAATGTTACAATGAATTTTGCTGTGAGTTTAGGATTGTGGGTTGACAATTGCTATACTTTCTCTTTGAGGTATTTTGCTTTGTTAAAATTGTGATTGTAAATTCCCACTGTCTGTTTAAATCTGTTTGTCAGGTTATCATCTTTGAAGCTATTATTTGCATCAAAAACCTGTTTGAAACCTACAATCTTGAAGCCTAATGCCAAGTATGCCAAATTTGTCTCAGTAAATTGGTACCTTTGTAGCTACTGATTATATAATTATCATTAATGCCAATTAATTGTAATGGTTTTTCTACTTTCTGTTTCTTGTTTTCGACAAGGCATGATTCTTGCAACTTGTTCAGCAGTACTGAAAAATAGGGAACACACAAGGGGAGAAACAATGAAATATCCAGTTTATTTCACGAATAAGGAAGACCTAATAACTCATAAATGACAAAGTCACCAATGAGTTATTAAAGGTCTTCCTCATGAGCCTATTGCATCTGTCATTGTCGCATGGCCAGCCTGTGAAATGGGGTCAGACTGTAGGTGGGTTGGAATGTGCAGCTGCAATCTACTCATCCCTCTCACATTGAAAATGGCAGCACCAGCAGGGTAACACGAGTGCCACTCTGCTGGAAACTAAGGGATCCATTGGACTTCCCATGAAGTTTCAGGGACACATTGTGGTATTGATTCATATCACTGGGTTGACTACTTGATCGAATTCTATCTGAAACCACCTCCTCAAAGGGATATTGACAGTTGGGCTCCAGGGTGATTCACTCCCCAAACAGCCTGGAAATTTGGTGATATGCAAACAAATGAAGCTTTAATTCCTTCTTGGTTTTAGCCTAAGATCGTTGTCCTAAAAATTAAGATCATGTAGGATTTGGGAAAATTCTCAAATTCAGTCTGAATTTCTGAGCTGGTTTTCCACATTACCCAAAGGGAATTCAGATAACTGCTTGCCAAATTAAGACTCAATTTAGAATTTTCCAAATTTCAGCACAATCTTATTTTTTTGAAGATAGTCTTTAAGCTAAGACGACAAAACATTTTGGGTCTCTGATAGATGCCCAGGAGAAACAAAACTGCTTTGCAAGACTTATAAAAACTCTCAGAAAATGTCAGACTCCTTTAGGAATTTAGAGAGGGTTCGGTACAAATTGTACCGATAGATGAGCAACAACAACAATAACAAGATTACATTTGTATAGCGCCTTTCATGTCGGGAGGATGTCCCAAAGCACTGGTAGGAGATATCGAGACAACAACAACAAATTATATTTGTATAGCGCCGTTCATGTTGGAAAGACACTGGACACTGGATAATCAGGGGTTTGTCCCAGGGCACTGCATAGCTTTGTTTGGCATGTTTTTGACAGAAGAAAGCAATTTTATTTGGATCAAGAAAATAGTTTCAGATATGTCAGAGAGGGTGTGGTGTGGGAGGACCCTTGCATTACCCTCTCCCCAATACTGCCCTCAGTGATGGTCCATAAGATAGGCCAGTGGTATTAAACTTTAAGATCACTCTTGACTTTAGTAAGATGCAGAATTTTTGGGATTAGTAAAAGCAAGTATCTAACCAGCAGTTGAAAATTATGCCGGATCCCAATGTTGCAGATCAGGCTTCATGGACTTCATCACTGAGAATGACATTGGGAAGGGAGGGGGAGAATTCATCTGAATACATTCACTGTGATTAATGTTAAATGCAACACTAAATTGACCCTTACATGAACTATTGTACCCATGAATACTCTAATCATCTGTGTTTGTTTTGTCACAATCGCTGTATTTCAGATTCCTCCCATTCAACAATACATCTGGTTTCAACAAGTATACACCACTCCTTCATACGACCACCAAGTACGGACCTATCCCTTATGGAACTCAGCATTTTAGAGAAATTGAAAACACAGGAAATCTCTGCAAAAAGAAAGTAAGAAAACAAGTAATAAGATGCATTTTTGTCCCATTGTTCACTTTAGCCATGACACAGCACAACTTTCTTTACACTAGATTCTCTCCATCGATGATCAACTCTGAAAATGGAAATGTATGTTAGTTTGCTTGCACCGTAGTAATATCTTCAAAATCTGTAGATACATTTCTACATTACTATCATAATGAATAACATTTAATTGAGAAACATTATTTATTTTCACGCCTGAGTGGAAACACCTTCTAAGTTGCACTTTCTATGATTCTATTAAAAAATAGCCATTGTATTCTTCCAAAAGTTATTATAGGAGGAGGTTGCTGAGTTCATCAAATGTAGCTGGCACAGCCATTGCAGTTGAATACAGTATCTTAATTATTAACAAAAATGAATGCAAATAATGGCTGTTACGGTGAGGCACTGAATGTTTCTATGTGCTTCACTTTTAAAGGAAAAATACTGGTGCTTGTGCTTTTCCAAAGATAAAAAAAAATTGTATGGGATAAAATATGCAGCGCTTCATAATCAATTCATGATAATTAGCACCAGGTGATAATTAGCGACCAGTTTATTGAATTGTTGTAATATGTGATTTAGTCATCACTGGTGACAAATCAGTTATGAAATGCTGTAGAATATTCTATCTCAGTGTATTACATGGCAGTAGGACAGTATTTTTTTAAAATAATATAACCATGGGAAGAATTTCATGGAATTTTATAATATAACAAATTCTTTACCTTGAATAAACTAGAATTTTTATTCTGTGTTATAGGAATTTGTGACATGGTTTTATGATCTTTCATTTTCTGTGCACTATAATCATTTTGTTTTAGCCAGCATAGTGCATAGTGGCAGACTATAGGCTCCTGTGATGAAGGCACATGATTTTACAAGCAGTGATATTCTACCATGTAATTTTGACAAGCAGAGATAATGGAACTTACTTTACTGAATGATACAAGGGAATACAAGAGTTTCTATAAAGTAGAGTATTGTAACTATTCAAACAGTATCATTAATTTTATTTCCAACTGTGCATTTGGAAACAATTTAGAATGGATACTTAAATCTCAGCAGGACTCACTGAGAAGCTCCCATTATCGTCTACTAAGAACCACACACAGAATAGAATGGCAATGTTAAGTTCCACCTTTGTTCATGGTAGTAAAGTACTTTTAGAACAGAACATTAAATATATTATACAAAGGTGACTTGATGCGGCATTAGGACAGTTTCTTTGAGCTGGAATTTTATGACATTTGTGAAAATAGAGCATCATGAAAAAAAAACTAGTTTACAAGAGCTTTTTTCCATTTTGGGTACTGTCTCTATCAGTGATCTAGTGATCCAAAATAGAAAAAAACATAAGGATCTATAAATAATTGTAAAAATTGTCGAGAACTGAAACTGTTAGAAGGTAAGAGATCTGATTTGAAATCCTTTTCAGAGTTATTGATCCTCTTGTTGTTTAATGTTTTGCTTTTTTTCTTCTGCAATTTCTGTTTCCTTATCTATTTTAATAGTCACTGAAATTTGAACGTTGACTCTCATTTTGTAGTTCCCTTAATGAAGGTGCACATTTTGACACAAGTTTGATTATTTCTAGTGTCACCATTGATTATGCCACATTATTTCTTGCTTAGCTCAACATTTCACCTTCTACAGCCAGGACCAAATCAGCAAACCTGTCTTCTTCCATGGATACCTGCATTCATCACATCTATGGTCCACTGTATTTCTACAGATAAGTTGGTCAGCAGTACTTAGGGGTTAAAATATGAGTTGAGTTTAATACCTTGTACTTTGTGAATTCTAGTCCATTGCTGCATGAAGCAAAGGATGCCAACTTAATCTTTGAACCATTATGCATGTGTTTCATCATTCATGGCTCTCGCTTAATGTTTCAATGTGATCTTTATTTCAGAGATTAATCTGGTTTTGTTTATGGTGGTGCCATGTCATTCGTCAGTCTCTCAGTTCTTCATTGTTTACAAATCCAGCTGGGATGTTCTCCCGACGTGAAAGGCACTATCAAATGTAGTTTTGTTGTTGTTGGTAAAGCCATTACCCAGCCAGTGGAAAAAATGATTGGGGAATGGTAATACTGGCATAAATATTTGTATTACCAATTCCAAAATGGATGATAGGAGCAGAGGAAGACCAAAAAGAAAGTTAGGTTGCTCACTCCCAATCTATAATCCTTAAAACAAATCAAAGGGAAACAAGCTTAGCACATCATTCAGCACACAAAGTCAACTTTTCTTCATCAGTAGCTGCAAAATGGTGTAGGAAGTAGAACAGTTCATGGATTTAATGTGGCAAAACCCTGGGTGCAGAAACATGGGTGTGACTGTGACTGCCTGCCTATTGCAGCTGATGATTGAAACTGCTGTCAGTAGCATCCTGACAGTAATGAACATTCGGCTTAACGACCGTGATTATGATTATCATAATTGATGTGCAAATGCAATGTGCAAGGATCATTACAGCTGAACTTTACAGCTGTGAAGCAAGCTTTGGTTATGGATAATTGTACTTTTACATGTTGATTGGGATGAAATATGTTTTCAACAGACAACTTTGCATTATTCTTGAAGACCCCTTCCATTTTTTAATTGATGTTTGTGGTCCGGGTAGAAGCACTGCCACAGAACACCTGGCTTGACAGGATATTTGTGGAGTCCTATAGCTCAGTGGTTAGAGCTCTCGCTTTGCAGGTGAGAGACCTGAGTTCAATTCCAGGCAGGGCGAAACCTTGGGCAAGTTTCCTTACTCCACACGCCTAATAATAATCCCTCCAAAACCAAAAACAATAATAAATTGGTCATTTTCAATCCACGACTGTTTGTGTTACATTGCTGTGCGCAATTGGCTGCCGCGTTCGCCCACAAATATACAGTCAATTCACTTGACAGTATATTCTGTGAAGCATTTTGGGACGTCTAGAAGACGAGAAAAGCGCTATATCAAATGCAAGGATTATTATTATTATCTCTTAAACACTTCTGTGCCTAACCTGGAGTGATACGTGGAAAACATAGCAATATTACTTATTTGGGGGATTACTTATTTTGTCTTGTCTTTATCCCTGTGTAGATATTTATGCAAAGTGATTAGGTTAATATCTTCATAATCAGCATGTCCTAGCATCAAAATAAACTAATTTATAGGTTATTCCAAGTTGTATGCCTGCCAGAAAACAAGTCCTGATTGAGCGTTAATTTCCTCCATTTGAGCATCAGCAAAGCTGAAGCCATCTTTTTTGTCTTTCTCAAGCACCTTCTAGTTTTGGCTCTGATTCCATCAATCTCCCAAGTTGATGGCTCTGGTTACCCAAGTTAGTGTGTAACCTTCATGTTTTTTTTGATCCCCAGCTCAGTTTCAAGCCCTACATCCAGTCATTGACCAAGACTTTCACCTTCTTTCATCTCTAGAAAATTGCCTGCTTATATCCCTCTCTCATACACGTGCAGCAGAAACCTTTTGTTACCTCAGGGCTAGAATTCTCTAATACTATATTCGCCTGGTCTCCTCAGCTCCATTTCCAAAATCTCCAATCCATCCAAAACTATATTCTGTCCCAAAGCAGGCTCCACACAACTAGGACAGCATTTAGTGTTGGTTATCAGAGCTTAGTTACACATGCACACAGCTCTCCTTGAACCATAGAGAATTCAATTTTGAAGTAGAAAATGTGAAGCTGTTTTCCACTTGTAATTACATTTTTACTGGAAGCTGCTATTAAAAGTACTGTTAACTGGTGCGTGTAAATGACTGGTTTGAGTTTTTATTGTGGATTGTGGAAATCAAAGCACTTTAATACAATTGCATGTTTACATCAAAGTTTTTTGGTCTCTGAATCATATTGAGAGAAGTAGTTTACTGAAAAAACTACCACCTTATACTATGACTCTCGATAACCCAACAACTGAAAGTGAATAGGCAAAGTTTCTTGATACAACATAAGACAACTTATCTTAGTTTTTCTGCTGTGAATAAAGCAGATATTGCATATTATAGATATTTTCATGTTTTAAGCGTAACGTTGAAAAGAAATTTGCATGTTTCATGAAGTTTTCTGTGATAGCTTACCAGCTGTCTCTCTGCTGCCATCCAGAATTTTCACCATTCAGCTCCCTCTAGTTTGCCATTATTTAAAAAAAATGATTATAATTAGTCAGTTTCTGATCTTCAGCTTTGAAACGCTACTTTGTGCCAGGTTTTAAATGAGGATTCCCACAAATTCAACCATTGTGCCAAAACAGGGGAGGGGGTGAAATAGAACCATTTTCCTCTATTATTTTTATTGAGGCAGATCGAAATCTGCCTCAATGACAGATAGTTATAGGAGGGTGAAAATTGAACATGGGGGTGGAGTGGCAGCCGGTGGGTTTAGGCCCCCAGTGTCGTTCTCAGGCTGTACAGTGCTCTGCCCAGACTGTACCTTGAAAACTAATAATAATTATTATTATTATTACCTTGAAAACTACATACAGATTTGCAACTACTAGACAAGCTACGGCTCTTCAGTCTTGAGAGGAGGTGACTCAGAGGGGATGTCATAGAGGTGTATAACATTTTAAACGGGATTGAAAAAGTAAACCCAGATCAATGCTTTAGGATGTATCGTGACAATAGAACAAGAAGACTTAAGTTTAGAGTTGTAAAGGGCAACTTCAAGACACTTATCAGGAAGATTTTTTCTTTACGCAGAGGGTAATCAACAACTGGAACAGGTTCCCCAAAAGGTGTTAGAGGCCAGGACACTAGACTCATTAAAAAAGCAGTTTTATGCAGTGACGTGAGTTGGTAAGATGGGTGTTCTGCAAGAATGAGATCAGATGAGCTGAAGGGCCTTCTTAATCCAGACCAAACTTGTGATCTTATGTTAGTACCTTGGTGAATTGTGACAGGTACATTTAAGACAGGAATAATTAAGGAACAAATTTGCACTGTTTCTTAACATGATAGTTATCACAAGTAACACATTATATAAG